GGGCTTTTGCGAGCAACTTTTTCGAACTTCTGCGACAACGGTTGCGCACCTGCCAGGGCCATCATCCCTGTCAAATAATACATGCGGGACACATTCGTTTTTTCTTCGCGCGCGCACGCCGTCGTCGTCGGCCGCGGGGCCCTGAATAGTAGCCACGGTCGCCCGCATGCCACGAAGTGAAGTGTCCGAACGTCATAGGGCGGGAAGCTGGGTGTGGGTGGTGGCGAAGAGTCGTTTGGAAATTTGGTAGAGCTTGAAACGGCCCCCCCACAAAGTGGGGGTATTGCCCGCCTCCTATGAAAACCCTGGCACTGGTGAGAACGGAGTGTCCCCACGTGCTAGTAATTGTTGTTGTTGTTGTTGTTGTTGTTGTTGTTGTTGTGGTTGTTGTTGTTGTTGCTGTTGCTGTTGTTGTTGTTGTTGTTGTTGTTGTTGTTGTTGTTGTTGTTGTTGTTGTTGTTGTTTTTATATATTAAAAGATGCACATATGGGGACCTCCACGCAGTGAGTAATTCATCGAAGGGGGGTGACTAACGTGCAGGCGGGCCGCGGCCCCCTCCCCGGCCTCAAGATTCGAACCCCTCCCCGCACCCGCGCGGACGCTCTCGGGCCCCCACCCCTGAGTGCCAAACCTGGGAAAGAGACAGGAGTCTGGGGAGGCGGAGGATGAGGAGGAGGAGGAGGAGGAGGAGGAGGAGGAGGAGGAGGAGGAGGAGGAGGAGGAGGAGGAGGAGGAGGAGGAGGAGCAAGAGGTAGTAGAGGAGGATGGAGGCGTTTGATCCCAATGCCCCCCCCCTGCCTGCATGCCAACACCCTTGGTGGGCACACAGCGGGAACCTCCCCCTTCCTGACACGCCACGGACGCAACGGCCAACTCCTCCTGGTGTTCCAGGGTGGGTGGGGGGCGATGGATTGTCAAAAGAGTCAGAGTGCCCACCCCTTCCGACCGATGGGTAACCGAGACAGGTCTTTAATGATGACCCCCCCCGACCTGTCGGTGGGCAACAAAACTTGTCCTCCCCCTCCTCGTCCCTCAACTCCTCGCCCTCCTCCTCGCTCTCCCTCCTCCCCCCCCTCCCCGTGCTCCCCTCCTCGCCCTCCCCCTCGTTCTCCCTTTCCTCGTCCTTCCCCCCCTTGGCCTCCTCCTCGCCCTCCCTCTTCTGATAGGAATCCTACGTGCGACAGAGCGCGACCTGTGGTCGCTTGAGGGAGGGGGGGGGGTTGGAACCAGGCCCCCCACCCTGGATTGAGGGGGGAGGGTTCGACCCCCCCCTCCCCCCTTCCCCTCCCCCTCCTCCCCTACTTTTCCTCTCTCCCTCTCCTACGACGACTTCCTTTTCTGGGCCGGCACTGGCGCCTGCGGCGGCGGGCGGCGGCAGCGGTGAGCGTCGACGACGACGACGGCGACGACGATGACGACGACGACGACGACGACGCTCCGCCACCGTGCCTTGGGCGTCTCTTGGGGCAGCCTCCTGGGCGCCTCTTGGGCGTCTCTTGGGGCGTCTCTTGGGGCCTCGCTGAGGTGGTTGTGGTGGTGGTGATGGGCTGTGGTGGTGGTGGTGGTTGTGGCGGTGGTGGTGGTGGTGGCGGTTGTGCTGTGGTTGGTGGTGATGGTGGTTGTAGTGGTGGTTGTGGTTGCAGGTTGTGGTGGTGGTGGTGGTGATGGTGGCGGTGGAGGTGGTGGTGCAGTGGTTTCTGGTGGTGGTGGTGGTGGTGGTGGTAGTTGTGGCGGTGGTGGGTGAAGGTGGTGGTGGCGGTGGCGGTGGTGGTGTGGTGGTTGGTCGTGGTGGTTGTGGCGGTGGTAATGGATGTGGTGGTGGTGGTGGGTTGTGGTGGTGGTGGTGGTGGTGGTGGCGGTGGTAGTTGTGGCGGTGGTGGTGGTTTGTTGCGGGGGGGGGGGGGGGCAAACCCCAGTTCGAAACGCGCCGCCGAATGTTCCCAAGGCAAGCGCCCGTGAAACGCGCTCTCTCCTACGTATGAATCCTTGAGAATCCGAAGGAAGTCCTGAGAATCTTTAGGGATCTGTATGGGTCCTTGGGAACGCGGAGGGATTCCTGGGACTCCTGGGAACCCACAGGAACCCCAGCAGTGGCCGCCGCGGGAGACGAAATATTTTACCAACATCGTTGTCCGTCCCAATCCGTCAATTAGCCCGCGCAAGACATATCCAGTTCTCCTTAGAGGAAATGTATTTTAAAAAAGGCCTTTTCGGGCTACACCAATCCAGGGCCCTGCTGTGCTCTGGTCCCGCGTCAGGCCTGGGACGACGCTCGCGCGCCAAAGCTCCAACGTGCGTCTGACGTGAATTCGACGGACATGCAACGGAATCCGACGTGAACCCGACGCAAATCCGACGTGGATCCGACGTGAATTGGGTCTCAAGTTGCCGCGCGAGGCCCCTTGGATTTCCTTCATAATGCGCCAATCCAGCCTCCGCGCGGGGGCACTGGCGGGGACAGCGGGGACAATTGTGGGAATAGAAGGGACAATGGGACAGTGGTCGGGACGGTGGTGATGCGGACAGTGGTGTGGGGACCGTGGGAACGTGGTGGAAACAGTGGGACAGTGGAGGGTACAGTGGTGGTGGAGACAGTGGTGAGGGCGGTGGCGAGGACGGCTGTGGGATAATGGGACAGAGGTACAGTAGGGACAGTGATGGGGATAGTGGGAGCGTGGCAGGAACAGTGGGACAGCTCAGTGGGACAGCGGCGGGGACAGTGGGACAGTGGGGACAGTGGGACAGTGGTTGGGGCCGTGGAGAAAGTGGGGAGAGTGGAACCGTGGTGGGAACAGTGGTGGGGACAGTGGGGACCGTGCGACAGTTGTGGGGGCACTGGTGGGGACAGTGGGGACGGTGGTGGGCACGGTGGGGACAGTGGTGGTGAGGACTGCTGCTGGGAACAGCAGTGGGGGATGTGGTGCGGACGGTGGTAGGGATCCAGAGTTGTTTGCTGGCGGTGAGCGCGGGGGGGTGGAGGGGTTCGAACCGGTAGTGACCCTCCTTGGTTTTCGAAGGGGGGGGTTCGAACCGGTAGTGACCCCTCCGGGTTTTCGAGGGGGGATCGAACCGGTAGTGAGCCCCCCGGTTTTCGAAGGGGGGGGGGTTCGAACCGAACCGGTAGTGACCCCCCCCTGGTTTTCGATGGGGGAGGGGTGGGGTGGGGTTCGAATCGGTAGTGACCCCCCCTGTTTTCTGGAGGTGGGGGGGTTCGAACCGGTAGTGACCCTCTCTGGGGGGGAGGGGTTCGAACGGGTAGTGACCCCCCCTGGTTTTCTAGAGGATGGGGGGGGTTCGAACCGGTAGTGACCCCCCCGGTTTTCCGGAGGGGTAGGGGAGGGAGGATGTTTTTCCGGGAGGAGGGGGGGGGGTCCAGCAAGGGGGGTGGGGATCTTCGGAGGGGGGGGGACCCCCGGGCTCCGGAGGAAGAGGGGGGGAATTTTCCACAGTAAATCGGCGGTGAATCACGCTCTCTCGAATGTTTAAAACGAATGTGCGCGGCGCTAAGGCGAGAGCCACATTTTGAAAACCACCCGCCCTCCATCTGTGAAACTGCTGTTAATTGTTGAGCTTCAGGGTCATAAATCGCGACGAGGTTTCAGGCGAAACGCCCGGACCGCCCTAAAATCTGGCCTCGGGGTGCGACAGGGGGATATAATTTTTATCGGAAGCTGAGGAGGAGGAGGAGGAGGAGGAGGAGGAGGAGGAGGAGGAAAAGGAGGAGGAGGAGGAGGAGGAGGACCAGTGTAAACCAAAAGTAATCAACGATGTTGAAATTAACCCTCCCTCCAAGCTCCCTCTTCATAGGCCCCTGCAACGGTTCATTTCCATTGAGGGGACTGCCTCATTGTAAGACACCCTAGAAGACCCTGAAGCATGCCCTCAATCCGTGAAGCTGTTCCACATGTTTTAAAGCGAAAGTGCGCGGCGCTACGACGAGAGCCACATTTTGAAAACGACCCGCCCTCAATCCGTGATTTGTTTTGCAAATGTTTAAAACGAATGTACGCGGCGCTAAGGCGAGAGCCACATTTTGAAAACCACCCGCCCTCAATCCGTGAAGCTCTTGCAAATCTTTAAATCGAATGTGCGCGGCGCTAAGGCAAGAGCCACATTCTGAAAACGACACACCCCCAATCCGTAAAGCTCTGGCAAATGCTTAAAACGAATGTGCGCGGAGCTACGGCGAGAGCCACAGTTTGAAAACCACCCGCCCTCCATCTGTGAAACTGTGCACTGTTTAAGCTTCAGAATCATCAGTGGTGGGAAGCCCTCAGGCGAAACGCCCGGACTGTCCCTAAAAACTGGCTTCGGGGTTTTTGCGCGGGAGAAAGTAATAGACTCCATGATAAGGATATGGAAATGCCATGGAAGGGAGGGGAGGTGGAGGAGGGGGAGGAGGAGGTAGGAGGAGGAGGAGAGGAGGAGGTGGGGAGGAGGAGGAGGAGGAGAGACGGAGGCGGAGGAGAAGGAGGAGGATGGGGAGGGGCGAGGGGGAGGGAGTTGGAGGGGGAGGGGGGAGGGGGAGTGAGGAGGGGGCGGGAGGAGGAGTTAAGGTGGAGGAGAAGAGGAGGAGGAGGAGGAGGAGGAGGAGGAGGAAGTAACGGGGAAGAGGTGAGGAGCAGGAGTGGAGAGGGAGGGAAAAGAGGGGGAGGCGGAAGGGAGGAGGAGGAGGAGGCGATGCGGAGGGGATGAGGAGGGAGGAGAGGAGGAGGGAGGAGGAGGAAGACGGAGAAGAGGAGGAAGAGGAGGAAGGGAGGTGGAGGAGGAGGAGGCGGGGGAGGGGGAGGAGGAGGAGGTAGAGAGGAGGGACGGGGGTGGGGGGAGGGAGAGGGGTTTGGTGGGGAGATGGTGGGAGGGGTGAGGGGGAGGAGGAGGAGGAGGGTGGAGGGGAGGTGGAGGAGGAGGAGGAGGAGGAGGAGGAGGAGGAGGAGGTGGAGTGGAGGAGGAGGAGGAGGAGGAGGAGGAGGAGGAGGAGGAGGGCCAGACCCCCCCCTGCCTTTTTCGAAGAGTTCCCCACCTTCCGCGCCGCTCCCTTGCGCGGGCCGCCAACTCCTGGCGGCCCCCGCGCCCGCCCGATCCCTGCCTGCGCGCCGCGCGGGCGCCAGCAGCCGCCACGGCGGTGCCGCCTGCCGGTGCCCCGCGGCCCCGGGCCGCAGCCCCCGCTGTTCGCCGACCGGCACGGAAGAGCACTGCGTCGGGGAAACGTTCGCCGCTCCTCCACCTTCGCAAAGCCCGTGCCCCCTCGTCCTCGTGCTCCGCCCTCTCTCGCTCTCCTCCTCCTCCTCCTCTGTGGTCCTCCTCCTCTCCTCCTCCTTCCTCATCCACTTGTCCTGTACCTCCTCTTCCCCTCTCTTGTGTTCTTCGGCGGTTCTGTTCGGTTGTCCGCACTCGGGTGGCGCGTTGGGGCTTTCGTGTGTGGGGGTGGGGGTCGGATGGCGCGGTGTCAGCGGTGGGACTGGTGCAGCGAGGGCTGCAGCCAAGGGGGGGACTCGGGGGCCCCCAAGTGGGCACCTTCGGGCCCCAAAGGGGGGGCCTGCAGGGGCCTTGTGCTCACCCCATGCATCGCCCCTCCATGGAGCGACGCCTACGTCGGGGAGGACGTACGACTCGAGGACGCTGGGACTCGGGTTGGCCTACGCTTTTTGACGAGCCCGCCAAGTTTTCGTGGGACGTATGCAGCGGGAGTTCGCGTCAAATTTCAGATGAGATCTCGGCATCTTCCTGACGGCCCCGTCAGGCCAACCCGAGTCCCCCGTACCCGAGTCTTCCGACTCCCACCAGACTGAGATCCAGGCGTCGCGATCCATTCACACCGGACACTGTCGCATTTTTGATCCTCGTCCTCGTCATCATCGTCTTCCTCGTCGTCGTCCTTGTCCTTCTCTTCCTCGCCGTCGTCAGCCTCTTCGTCCTCCTCCTCGTCGTCCTTCTCGCTCGCAGGCAAAGGGCACTCTTCCTCCTTCTCCTCCTCCGACCCTGAGATCTGGGCGTTGCGATTTTCTGCTCGCGCCAGGCGTTTTGAAAAACCGCGACACGGAGGTTTTTCGCCGCTGTCGACTTCTTTCGGCTCCTGGGGTCGGCGGGCCCCTGGGCCCCGGGGTTTGGAGGGGGGGGGGGGTCCGCTGTGCACCCGGCACCGGTCCTGGGCCAGGCTGGTCCTGGACCGCAAGAGGGGCCTGGCGAGGACTTCTGGAGGGTCGAACCAGGTATGGGCGTTATATGGTTTCGAGACAGATGGCCACCTGCCCAACAGTTGCCGTTGCCAGGCGCGAAAGGCGCTCCGCCAGTGTCTGGTAGCCACCTCCCCTGAGGGGCAAGAGGGCTTGAGCCAAGCGCGCGGAAACCTGCGCGCAGGCAAGGCTAAGAACGCAGGGAGGAGGGAACGTAAACGGCTGCCTGCCCAACAGCGGACGCTGCCGGTTTGGGACAACACTTGCTGTTGGGCATCCTGCCGTTTTTATCCGTGCCCACCTCGCGTGTCCAGAAGGATCGGCGCAGCTGCGCTGCTGCCTGAGGAAAGATTGGCGGCGCGCACAAGGGGGTAGAGGGAGGGGGGAAGGCTTCTTGGAAGGCGGCTGCTCCTCAGAAGGCGCCATCCCTATATCAACAGGCAGGGCCCGCGCCTTCTAGGACGCAGGGGTGCTTCTGAGAAGCTTTCCCCCCTCCCCCTAACCGCGTCTCCGTGATAACCATGATCCCCCCCCGCTGGGGTCGTCCATGTTTATTATTTGCGGAGGGGGAGGAGGAGGAGGAGGAGGAGGAGGAGGAGGAGGAGGAGGAGGAGGAGGAGAAGGAGGAGAAGGAGGACGAGGACGAGGAGGAGGAGGAGGAGGAGGAGGAGGAGGAGGAGGAGGAGGAGGGGGAGGAGGAGGAGGACGAGGACGAGGAGGACGAGGAGGAGGAAGCCTCCCTGCCTGTAGCAATCCGGCACATCCCAGAAGTCCCAGGAATCCGCATGAAATCGCAAGGTTCCTGGGGATGTCAAGGTTGGTTTTGCTCCAGGGTATGAAGTCCCAGGGATCCCAGTTAACTCGCAAGGTTTCGTGGATTTGCATCCCAGAAATCCCAGGAATCCTAGTGAAATCGCAGGGTGTGCGCACCACCGACATCGCGAACCTTTTGATTTTCATCGCGAACTTTTTGATTATGTTGGGATTCTTGGGGTTCTGAGCCTTTGGTGATCCCAAGGTTGGTTTTGCCCCAGGGTATGAAATCCCAGGAATTCAAGTGAAATCGTAGGTATTTTTTTCGATTTGCATCCCACAAATCCCGGGAATCCAATTGAAATCGCAGGGTTTGCTGATTTCTCGTCTACAGGATGACTCACACGCATGCCCCCCCCTCTATGTAGAGGAAGCAGACGCTTGCATGTGTCACGTCGGCGATTGTGGACAATGCGCTGCTAGCGGATGCGGGGGAAGGTTTCAGCGAAAAAGATAAGGTGCGGAGAGGGAAGGGATACAGGAGGGGAGCGGCACGACTCCAGCCTCGTGGAAAGGAAGAAGGCGTAGAATGGGTGTTTGGGAGGGGCTGTCCATTTATATATATATATACATATACATACACACCAGCAAACAAGCATACATGTACATATGCATATACATCTACACATATATACCTAAGGCAGTATATATATATATATATGTATGAGTAGGCCCGGGGGGGCGCGGACCGCTGCCTCAGCGTGGCATGGGGGGCCAACCGAGCTTGGACCCGCCAAAAGGGCCCTCAAGGAGCCCCGGGGCCACCAAAAGGGGCTTCAAGGGGGACCAGAGGGCACCAACACGCCCCGAGCACGCCGACCATTGCTGCGAGACGGCTTACGCGCATGGTCTCCAGGCCTTACGAGAGCTTCAAGCTGATCCCACAGAGAGGCCCCAGGAACGAAAGTCACCGAGTTCCCTATAGTTTCTCCAGGAAGCCATCCTTTGGTGTTGGGTTCTCGTTATGAAAAGACGGTCCCCGCGTTCCCTCCTTCCCACCCTCCTTCCCTCCTCCCTTCCTTCCTTCCCCTCCTCCCTCCTCCCCCTCCTCTCTCCTCCCCTCCCATCCCTGACCCTGCCCTCCGCATGTCTTCGTCATCGTCCCCCTACCCAACACAGTACTTCGTGGCCCCATAGGGAGCTACACCGAAGGCTCCAGTGGCGCTGTCCACATACGTCTCCGCCACACAGCATATCGTTTCGTGGACCCACAGGGAGCTCCACCGAAGGCCCCAGTGGCGGTGTCCACGTGCGTCCCCCCCAGCACAGCGTTGCGCTGCCGCATGGGGAGCTCCACCCAGGGCCCCAATGGCGGTGTCCACATGCGTCTTCCCCACCCAGCACAGCGCTTCGTGGCCCCATAGGGAACTCCACCGAAGGCCCCAGTGGCGGTGTCCACATGCGTCTCCCCTACCCAGTGCAGCGCCGCGTGGCCCCATGGGGAGCTCCACCGAAGGCCCCAGTGGCGGTGTCCACATGCGTCTCCCCCACCCAGCACACCGCTTCGTGACCCCATAGGGAGCTCCACCGAATGCCCCAGTGGCGGTGTCCACATGCGCCCCCCTTCACCCCCCCACCACCACACAGCACAGCATTTCGTGGCCCCACTGGGAATCCACCTAGGGCGCCAGTGGCGGTGTCCACATGCGTTTCCCCCACCCAGCACACCGCTTCGTGGCCCCATAGGAAACTTTACCGAATGCCCCAGTGGCGGTGTCCACATGCGTCTCCTCCCCCCAACGCAGCGTTGCGTTGCCCCATAGGGAGCTCCACCGAATGCCCCTCCACATGCGCTTCCCCCGCCCAGCACAGCGTTCCGTGGCTCCATGAAGCTCCACCGAATGCCCCAGTTGCGGTGTCCACATGCGTCTCCCCTACCCAGCTCAGCGTTTCGTGGCCCCATGGGGAGCTCCACAGAATGCCCCAGTGGCGGTGTCCACATGCGTCTCCCCCACCCAACACACCGCTTCGTGACCCCATCGGGAGCTCCACCTAATGCCCCAATGGGGGTGGCCACATGCGCTTCCCCCACCCAGCACAGCGCTTCGTGGCCCCATAGGGAACTCCACCGAAGGCCCCAGTGGCGGTGTCCACATGCGTCTCCCCTACCCAGTGCAGCGCCGCGTGGCCCCATGGGGAGCTCCACCGAAGGCCCCAGTGGCGGTGTCCACATGCGTCTCCCCCACCCAATGCAGCGTCTCGTGGCCCCACAGGGAATCCACCTAGGGCGCCAGTGGCGGTGTCCACATGCGTTTCCCCCACCCAGCACACCGCTTCGTGGCCCCATAGGAAACTTTACCGAATGCCTCAGTGGCGGTGTCCACATGCGTCTCCCCCAGCAAGCACTGCGCTTCAGGGCACCATAGGGAGGCCCACCCAACCCAATACAGTGCTTCGTGTCCCCATAGGGAGCCCCACCGACGGCCGCAGTGGCGGTGTCCACGTGCGCCGTTCCCACCCAGCACAGGGTGTCGTGGCCCCATAAGAAGCTCCCCCGGAGGACCCAGTGGCGGTGTCCACATTCGTCTCCGCCACACAGCACAGCGCTTCGTGGCCCCATAGGGAGCTCCACCGAAGGCCCCAAAGGCGGTGCCCACATGCGTCTCCCCTAACCAGTGCAGCGCTGCGTGGCCCTATAGGGAGCTCCACCGAAGGCCCCAGTGGCGGTGTCCACATGCGTCTCCCCACACAGCTCAGCGTTTCGTGGCCCCACAGGGAGCTCCGCCGAAGGCCTCAGTGGCGGTGTCCACGTGCGTCTCCCCCAGCACAGCGTTGCGCTTCAGGGCCCCATAGGGAGGCCCACCCAACCCAATACAGCGCTTCGTGTCCCCATAGGGAGCCCCACCGACGGCCGCAGTGGCGGTGTCCACATGCGTCTCCCCAAACAGCACAGCGTTTCGTGGACCCACAGGGAGCTCCACCGGCGGCCCCAGTGGCGGTGTCCACATGCGTCTCCCCACACAGCACACTGTTTCGTGGCTCATAGGGAGCTCCACCGAAGGCCCCAGTGGCGGTGTCCACATGCATTTCTCCTACCCGGTGCAGCGCTTCGTGGCCCCATGGGAAGCTCCACCGAAGGCCCCAGTGACGGTGTCCACAGTTTATTCGGTATTGATGTTTCCAATGGTTTCTCTTTTTTTTTTTTTTTTTTTTTATCTTTTTCTTCTTTTTTTTTTTTTTTTCTTTTTTTTTTTTTTTCGTTTTTTTTTTTGTTCGGTGGCCCCATTGGCAGCCTTTTCTCTTTTT